CTCTGCTGTCTTGTTCCACTGCCAAGCCATAATAACAGCAATAAGGTTGGGGAGGCTCGTTAACCTTAATCTAGGAATTATACTGTGGCACCAGGGAGAGGAGGACGTGTTGTGTTGTGTGCTCGTACATAGGAGCTGGAATTAAACATTTACCACAGGGGGGGGAGCCAGCTGCAGCTTTGAACTGCGCAGAGAGTCAGAGCAGTGGTTCATGCAGTTCACACAGAGCCGGACTGAAATCACTCTCCTACTGTGCACTGTTTGAAACAGCAGAACACTGAGCTTTTTTTTTTCAGTCTCTGCTGCCACTGTGTGGTTAAAATGCATTACTACCCACATGAGCTGCACGTATTCTCCTGCCAGTGTTGCGTACACTTATCTGGGTAATGTTGAAGGAAAGTGGTTTTACACAGTAAATTCGTGATTGGCTAGAACTATCAAGGCATATATCATTTATTCACCCTACAATAGCCACCATGGCACACACATACAGGTTTTCTTCTTTTGTGGTGTTGTAGCATCAGTGGCAAGCTACAGTTCACCATCCAGTTAGATTGAATGCATGTATAGGGGAGACCGGGGATGACAGTAACACTTGTTTGAGCAAGTGTAACTCAGTGTTTCTTTGTGCTAGAGATCTCAAATTTCCACATGCGGTACGGTACCCATATTTGTCTGCTATAAATGACATACACATGGACTTCTACGACACCATCACAGACTACGAATGTAAATTCATGTCAAATACAAAGACGTATGTTGGAACAACCTACCCCAGTACCGGGGTGAGTTGTAACACTACTTGAGGATGGATGCAACAATTAAATTATTATGCTTAAAAAAGATCCACACTAATACATGTATGGAAACACTTTCCTGAATAATGAAGAAGGAACCATAAACTTGTAAGACTACGAAAATAATGATAACAAAATAAATACAAAGTATAAGTTAAAAACAATAAAAATAAATACAATAAAATAAATAAATAGATATAACATAAAATAAATAAAATAAAGAATCATAAAGTGTAAACTGGTGTGTGTTGTCTGTCTGTGTGTGTTTTTTAGTCTGAAACAGGTTAATGTGAAAAAGCATTTGAACACTTGAGATCTGTGGAACAATCAACAAACCACTTTTGGCCGAGAGACCAGTTCAGAAGAGAGAGCAGAGCGTCTTGTTTTGTCCGCTGGGAGGGAGGATTAGCGTTTTGTGTGGGGGGTGTAGTGTATGACTTGGTTGACAGTGTGTGAGGCAGAGTGTATGGAGCTGGGTGAGAGGGTGTGTCAGAGAAAGAGTATGAAGGAGGTTTCTTCTGTCTTTTGATATATTTATTAATTTTTTTACTCTCAAGCACTGACCAAGAGTGGCAACTCTAATTTCATTGTGTTTGATACTATGTATTTTATGCAATGACAAATAAAGCTATTCTATTCTATTCTATTCTATTCTATTCTATTCTATTCTATTCTATTCTATTCTATTCTATGTCAACATAAGGGAAGGTTTAAAGAACGGGTACAACCCTCCCCATACCAGGCAGCCATTAAAAAGCTAAGCTAGACAAAGTACTGCATGAGCATATTTAAGTGAAACAACTGTATCTACCACACAATGAACACCCATCCATCCATCCATCCATTATCTATACACCGCATAATCCTCATTAGGGTCGCGGGGGGGATGGAGCCCATCCCAGCTGACTCAGGGTGAAGGCAGGGGACACCTTGGCAACAGCGCTACACTTAAAGACAGACACACACTCACATTCACACCTACGGATAATTTAGAATCACCAATTAACCTCAACATGTTTTTGGACTGTGGGAGGAAGTCGGAGAACCCAGAGAGAACCCACGCTGCACGGGGAGAACATGCAAACTCCACGCAGAAATATTCCGGTGTCCCCACCGGGACACGAACCGGCGACCTTCTTGCTGCGAGACAACAGTGCTACCAACTGCACCACCCTGCAGCCCACAATGAACACGATGCAAAAAATATTTGTGATGAAGATTTTTACTTTCGTACCTGAAAAATCGTTTTTTGGCTCCAGAACAGACAGTTTTCAACTCAAGGACATGAGGCTTCACCAGTGAGCTCAGTTTGTAAGTGGGCATGGTCCTGATCAACACAGCTTGTTTCTGACTCGTCAAACTGAGAGTCTTACAACCATCCCCAGTCTCCCCTAGAGCATCACTTGCTGTTCAATAAGCTTATTGCTGAGGGCATAATAAACATTTCATAAACATTTTTCTGAAATCTGTGGTGGTAGGAGCAGTAAAATGACACTGCTCAGAGAAACCCTAAGAAATTAACTTGAATATTAAAGCAAGAGGGACAAGGGAGTGATCTGAGTGTGTGCTTTGCCATAATGATTTTATTTAGTGTGGACGATAGGGAGCAGGGCTGTCACGTAATACCAAAAATCCTACAGCCCCTTAAAATGTCTGCGCACGTCGCTGATGAGCTGCATGAGGAGTGATGAAGGCAAACTAATGCCATTAAATTAAACATCAATCAAATCTGTATTTATTCTAGCCGATTAATTGTCATCATTCCGACTAATAGCTCCAATCATGACTCGCTGATGAGACAGAAACTTGTTTAATTAGATGCTGGCCGCCTGCAAATTAATTATAGACGTTAATGAGATGTATAATGTAGGAATTAAAGAGAAAATAAGGCAACTACTCAGAAAGTTAAAGGCGCATTTGGTTTTAATTTGAGGCAAATTGAAGCTGGTGTTTTGACAACTTCATCCTCGTAGGGACTCAGTGAGAGTTTAAAGTGAGGTTCATACTCTGCACAGCAGACACACTGGGACAATGAATCATCATAGCTGTGTGCAAAATGGGATTTTTTTTCTTTAATATATGTTTGTAAACCTATTAAAAACGAATGTTGTATTCTCAAGAACAGTAGGGCCTCAATAAGACACTGTAAAAACTTGGTTCTCCATTTCTTGAAAGCAAGAAATCCATGTTCCAATGAGCATTGAAAAAGGAAATGGCAACTCCAAGATTGCGCCAAAGGGGCGCTTCCTTTTCATTTTGGCTGACATGAGCAAACGTGTGAAAAGGTGGAGGCCAATAGGCTTCTTGCACCATGTGGGGCTTTCCAAATAAGTGTTGAAGAAGTTCACACCTCCTTCGTCTTGACTTTAACGCACTCCCACTCACACACACTCACACACACAGGTCCTGTCAGTCAGATGAACACATCCTGAGTTTACTTTACAGCTGTGGCAGCATTTCAAGTGTTTATATCCTGAGAGACATTGGAAGCTGAACAAGCAGTCTGGTAAGTCGACAACCCATAATTTGCTGTTATTCTTATTTGACGATATTAAGGCAGGCAGATCAAACAAAGGCTGTTTTCAGCTGTGAGGCTGATGGCTGCAAATCGAAATAAGACCCAGTGTAGTGTCTTAAAAATCACTAAGAAGCTTCAGCCAAATTTTTGGCGATCAGCTCATCAAGAAGAATTAAGAAAAGAAGGAGAAGCTCAGATTTAGCGTAGATATTTTTGAAAATAAATTAATTTCTTGTGTGCGGTTCAATCAGGGATCTTAAAGTGATGTATTTACTTTTATGCTTCTGTTATTTCTTTCCTAATAGAACATCATTATACTTTCTAACTAAATCTTGAGAGAGCTTTAACTGTCAGGACGTGTAAAAGGGTTTTTCAGCACATGTGTTATATGTTACAGTCTGAGTTATGATGTGGAAATGTCATGTATGTTTCAGTGTATGAGTTATGACAAAAACAAATTGCAGATATACTAATTTGCTTCACTTTATGTTGCCTAATTTTCCGTTATTCCTTATTCCGTCATAACCAGTTTGAAAGATGCAGGTTAACAGGCTTCGACATGTCTTTGTTTTTCACAGTTGGGTCTCTTATCTGGAATATCTGGTCACATTCTGATCTGACATTTAAACAAACACAATCTCTGATGTGCCAACAAAGTAGATTTCACAAACACTTAATTCCTGGGAAGTCTATGTAAGATATCCAGCCACCTACCTTAGAAAAACCTGCAGAAAATTCTCACCAGTTAACCCTCTGATGTACTAAGCAGCTACTAATGAGCAGTATTGAGCGGTAATAAAATCTTCTCATAGTTCATTTAGGTTTTACTGTAACTGAGCAAACAATATGGATTACACCTACTGTTATAATTGTACTGCTTATTTAACTGCAGAAACAAATTCTTCTCTTAGGTGAATAAATGATTTGATTATGCAACCTCATTTAACGGCAGGTCATTGATCAAGTAGAAGTGGACTGTTGCTCTTTTGACTTTCTGTTTTGATTTCAGGTCAGTACTTGCTTTGATTTCAGCTACCTAAAGTCACATAACAGAGTTTGATATCAGTGGTTATACAGCCTTAACTCCACTCAATCTTCTCGGCACTTTACCACTTTATTGTCTGTGGTAAACTTTTATGGTCGCAAATTCCACCTCAGTATCTTACTTTTGGTCTGTAACTGAGTTTGTATGGTGCATAGTTCCAGATTCAGATACAGTCATTGGATGAATGCTGCCGTTTTTTTGTGTCCTCTCATCTAAAATATTTGCCTCTAAAACACAAATGTGGTTCAACAATCTGGCAGTCGCAAAAAAAAGAAAAAGAAAAAAGAACTGAAGAACTTAGTTACAGTAGTGACGCATTCTTGGTTCATGTTTGTCCAGACAGACAGCAGACAGGCACAACAGGCCTCTTGTAACTCATGGAAATATACTGTACGTGATGTGTTGAGTCAGAGAGAGACAGAAAACCAAGTCTATGTGCTGCCGGTGAGCACATTGAAGCAAAGAGATGATAAGGGAAGGTTGCATCACGGCAATAAGCATATTGAATATACTGTAGTGTTTTTTTTTAAGTTATTTTTTTGGCCTTTATTGATAGAGCAGTGAGAGAGAGACAGGAAAGTGGGGGAGAGGAATGGGGGGAGGACGTGTGGGATGTGCCATGAGTGGGATTTGAACTCATGACCTCCACATCAGGACTGTAGCCCTGCACAGGGGACGCCAGCTCAACCAGGTGAGCTACAGCGGCGCCCTACTGGAGTGTACTTTTGCAGTGTTAATTGCATAAATGATGCAAAATATAAAACACTGTGATGATTACTCCTAATGTATTTCAAGAGCTTTTTTCTGCTGAATTTAAGGATCAAGCTCATGGATGGAGGCAGACCAAGAAAGTGAAAAGGGGATGTAAAAGAGGGAAGAAAGCAGAGGAAGGAAATGTAAATATATATATATATATTTGTAAAAAGAAAAAAAAAGAAGATGACACATGTTGTGTACACTTTTCTTAAACACAAATACATTTGTAGAATTAACAACTTAGTCCTTGAAGCAAGTAAAGTAGATGTCAGAGTTAATTTATTATAATTACATTAAGCATTTGTATGTCTATTCATGTGCAACATCAATGTAAACCTGTGATTGTATCCGTTCTCTTTTTTTAGATCCATGGTTTTCAAATTACTAAGTTGTTGCTGTTATGTTGTGTTTTGCTATCTATTCATTTATCTTTGCTTAGGATGGCACTGTTAATGCCACGTTTGAACAGTGTTCACCTCTATCTGCTGTAAATTGCACTACCTTCTCACAAAGTGGAAGAAAAATCAAAATCATAACAAAAAAAAGAACAAGTCAGTAATTTTCTAGTAGTTTCTAACCTAAACACCTTCAGACAGAAGAACGTGCACCTCTCACTAACTTCTTCATTTCATCTAAACTCCAAAGTAAAATTTGTTCATACTTCAGTTCTGACTCAGTTGCTGCTCAAATACACTCTGTTGGACTAAAACCACCAGAATGCTGGTTGATGTTGTTGTGATTTACTGGCAATGATGTGTTCTAATATTTTCTGTCCTCCACAGAGAGACATGCTGGCAACCACCCAACCAGTTGACATGACCACAACCCCTCATCAGGGCTCCACAGTCGTCGACAACTCAACCTTCCTGGACTCTCAGTTTCGTTATGTGCTCTTCCCAGTCGTCTATGGCATCATCTTCATCCTGGGCATCTTTGCCAACATCTACGTATTGTTCGTCCTCCGCTGCCTCCGGGAAGCCAAGGCCATGGGCGAGATCCGCATCTACATGACCAACTTGACCATTGCTGATCTTCTTTTTGTGTCTGCATTGCCCTTTTGGATTGGATACTACAGTCGCAATGGCAACTGGATCTTTGGAGACTTCATGTGCCGGTTGACGGGCTCGTTTTTCTTCATCAACACCTACGGCACCATCCTCTTCCTGGCAGCCATCAGTGTCAACCGATACTGGGCGGTCACTCGGCCTCTTGACGTGGCCTCTTCGGACCACAGGCGTCGTGGGATCATCGTGTGCGTCATCATCTGGGTGTTCATCCTGTCGCTATCTGTTCCGTATCTGGTGCTTCCAGGGATCAACACTGACTCAAACAACATCACTCGATGTTTTGAGGGCTACCAGAATAGCACTGATTTTGGCAAGAGAATAGTGGCCGTCACTCATATTTTAATAACTGTAATGTTTTTTGTCGTCTTTTTCCTCGTTGTGGTGTGCAACTTCCTCATTGCTCGGGCCTTGCTTTCTCAAAATGCCCCTCAGTCAGAATTTCAGTCTTCAACGATTAAACACAGAAAGTCCAAAAGGACCATGTCTTCATCATCCAGAAGGCCCCGAGGGGTGAAACGGAGGGCTCTGCAGATGTTGTGGGCAGTGGTGGGAGTGTTTGTTCTGTGTTTCCTGCCCCACCATGTAGTTCAGAGTTTCTGGTCGCTGGCGGTGCTGCAGATCTCAAAAGATTGGGGCCACGTGAACTGGGCTGAGAGCACTCGTCAGACGCTCAACGACGTACATCAGATCACCTTGGTTCTCATGGGCCTCAACTGTGTTTTGGATCCTGTCGTTTATTATTTTGCCACAAGGAAGTTTAGGAGGTTCATCATGGACCACATTAAAAAGTTTGTGAAGGGCGAAGGGTGTACGCATACCATCACCTCACAGGTGTCCATGGACAGCAGGAATCACAGCCAGAGACTAAACAGCGAGCACCAACAACCCAGAGAAGACTGAAAGAATTATAGATTTCTCTCATGCTGCTGTTAAAAATGACTCAAGTCACAGTCTTTAATGCACCTCTTGAGCTCAACGAGAGTTCAAATGTTTAGTGTTGGTGGCGCCACACCCTCGGGGACTATCTATATATATATGTATATATGTAATGTGCAAAAATGTGTGAAGAAAAATGTGTTACACTTTTTTGTTTTGTCATATATTTAGGATGTGTGGTCTGAATTGCACCAGTATTTCTGCCCTTCCTGTGTGAATCGCAAACTCTTCTTCAGAAATTATACAAGCAGAAGTACATAAACAACTCTGAAAATTCTACAGAAGAGGATGACATGAACAGACAAAGACATTATTTAAATTGTTATGCAGATGTTTTTAGCTCAAGAAGGGCACTAAAAGCAGCAAAGAAGTCAAGGCTGGTACAAATATACAGAGCCTTTGGACACATCTTTTGGGGTGTTACGAGCTCTAAAATGTACTTTAACTTCACAAACTGGATATTATGTCAGTAAAAATGTGATAATGAGACAGTTGTCTGCCCTCAAAAAAGTGTCTCTTTTTCCTTTTTTTCCTTCATAGTTGTGCTTGGGCAAGTTATTTCCGGTATTGTGACACCAGGGAACACAAGTAATAATGCTTGAGCTGTGTTTCCCCTCTGGCGTCCCATATTGTGACATTGCATCTACGTCTCGTGGTAAAAACCCATGATTCAACGCAACTAGGAAAACCAGTCCTCATAATTATTCAGCTATTTGCTGCATATATACTCCACTGTATTTTATGTTTTCTTTGAGCTTATTTGTTGTTGCAAAACAGATATGATGTATTTTTTTATTCAGAGGAGCAGCTTTGTTATCTTTTGTATAGTTTTTTTGATGCTAAAAAAAAAGGAAATTAGCTTTGTGTTTATACATGTAGCATTCTGTTTTAATAAAGTTATTTTGTGTCAAGTTGCTATGTTTTGATCTTTCAGATAAATCAAAAGTCAGCTTCTGCAAGTCTGCAAAGATGAAGACAGCAGACAGACATCTAGTCAAACAGTAGTGTGGGTACATCTTCACACATTTAGAAGTACACCGCTGTGGCTTTTTACTACATTCAGATAGCGATACATGACATTTGTGAAACCAGATTAGATCGAACAAAGGAAATTCACACACTGATGGCAAACCTCATCGATCAGATTAAATCTAATGCAGAGCTATACATATGGGTTACACTCAGCATGAGTCATTTGTTATTCTTCCACTTTTTATTGCACATCTTCACCTTCTCTCAGCTCATGATTCATGACAAACTTGAGTACACATTGTCCGCAGTCACACTGGTGGGATCCAGATCTGTGTACCCCGGGTTACTGTTTGTGTAATTCATGTACACATCTCCGTCACTGTCATTCTGTGGCAATCCTGCCCTGGTGTGTGGAAAAAAGTGTGATGAGTGTGTTAATAAATACAGGTCACAACTCAGATGGATGACTGCATAAGGACAAAGTTCAAACACTGATATTTATGCATAAAATCTTCTCTCAGTACGTACTTTGATGCAATTTGAGGTCCAGGCAAACCTTCGAGAAAACAAAGGAATTAAAATAATCCACAGAACATTTTGATTACATTTTGTAAGTGCTTGGTGGTGCTCGTTACCTTTAACCATTGCGTTGGTGGTGGTTGTTGTGCCACCAACACTTTTGCAGGTGAGCCAGAAAATAATGGCCATGAAAAAAACGCAGGCAAGAAGAGAAAGGGCGAAGCTAGCCTTTCCTAAGTTCTCTCCCACTGTTGGAACAGAAATTCAGGTGAGAGGCTTTTAATGTCACGGCACATTAACAAGCAGTTGAAAAGATTTAAAAAAAGCCAGTTTGTCTTTGTTTGTGACATTTGCTACCACTGTTCATAGCTTAGGTGAAAACTTACCATGTACAGGGAGCCTTACAACTTTTTACTGCTGATGTATGAGATTTTTTTAAACACCCAAAACAAATATTAATACCAGGTTTCAAATTAAGCACCTTTATAATTTGTTCCATTGGTTTCATTACCAAGAATATAATGTGATAGTCTTGTGAAATATGTCAAAAGTTGATCACAGCATGTTTTTGCATTCATTTATCATAAACTGTCACCTGTTATAAAGCCCTGATGGTACGATAGAAGTAGAACTGGTGCAATATTAACACCTAACAATGAAGTCTATTATTAACTATCAGCATTTAAATAAACTGGGCAACAGTGTTGTGGAGATCTGAAAAGATTTGACCTAAGCAGACTACTAACCTGTTGCTTGGATGGAGACAATGTAGACTCTTTGGTTTTGGCTCCATATCTTCCAACTTAACTCTCTCTCAGCAAAGCAGCGGTACTGCCCACTTTGTTGTGGCTCAGTGAGGGTCAGTTCGCTACCGTTGCCCACGACTTTCCAGGTCTGATTTGTCAGGTGTTGCCAGAACAAAGTGGTGGGCCCTAACATGTTAACAGTGGTGCAGCGCAGAGTAACAGTCTGACCTGCTGCCACTGGGTAGTCTGGTTCAGCCACCACCTGCACACTGGATGCTTCTGTGGAGAAAAGTGCAGCAAAAGAAACAGGATACAGTAACCAGACATTTCCTTTAAAGATGATACTAGTATTGCATATTGCATATAGTTTCTGCCACACTAGTGACACAGTCCTACGAATGCCAATGTTGATCTAAGCTACCATATCATTGTTGTTTTTTCATATAAAAAACTATTAGATGGACTGACATAAGATTTCGTTCTGATATTCATGTCCCCCCACAGGATCACTGTATACGTCTTAAAAAGATTTGTGACCGTGTATGTACGGCAGAGACCTCTGAATGTGTTTTCTTATTATCTTCTTATTCGGTGTGTTCAGAACATTCACGAGCTGCAGCTTTGGGTGGTGGGTGTGTGGCCCTCACACAACAACAGCATGCAGGTGAGTTCAGGACATACAGTAAAGTACCAGACCATGAAAACACACACATACAAACAGATGAGTCGTCCCCTGTTGGTTCTTAGAATGAATGCAGTGTTAATGCCCTTTTTGTTCTACATCCATCTTTTGTATACAGCCATTGCTAAATCAGAACAAATCTAACATTCCTACAATGGCAGTGCTTCTGGTGGTTGATGAGGAACCAAGTTTGGATGTTGTATTTGCAAACAGTGACCAACTATTCCTGCACCATTTAACTTTAACTTTTCATTTGTCAACACATCCAATTTTATTCATTTTTGTCTAATATTTTAGTTTATGACTAAATACCACCAAAGCTAATAATATGATCCTCTGTTGCAAGTTTCAACTGGTGCTAATGAGCAAATGTTAAAATGGTAATGTGCTAAACCAAGGTGGTGACAGACATCATATCTCAGCGTACCTCGACATCATACATGATCACCAGCATTCAACTCAAAACAGTGCTGCAGTGTCCATTGCTGTGTAGCTAAACAGAGCCACCAACATGTCTGTAAACTGTTTTTTTTTTTTTTTCAAATAATTTGAATTGTTGAAAAAAGTACATTCTGCATTACTTTCAGGAGTCACTGCAGGAGTTTCTGGTGGATCAGTGCTGTTCATCGGCGCTGTCTGGGATTTAACTGCACAAATCAAAAAATTAAATAAATCAATTAAAAAAAATTCTGGATTATTTTATTATGTTCACAAATAAAATCTTCTTACCTGTGCTCTCACACACAAATAAAAGGAGAATACAGCCGAGCAGCATGTTGTTTGAGGAAAAAAGAAAACACCACAGGTACTTCAGGCTAACAGGTACAAAAATGAATGAATGTGTTACAATCAAAGCATAGGTGAGGCTGGAGGAAGTATGAGACTGGGAAACTAAGTTAAGGGAAGTTTCAAGTTCCTTTTTCTATATAATAAAGCAACAATAGTAAATGATTTACAACATTACCCCAGTTTTTCATGTAGGGCAAGAAGCAGTATGCGAGTGTTTTCAACAATTGGCTTGAAAATAATTGGCAAAGTGCACAAGAAGCAGAAAGACAAGAAGCACAAGTTAACAGAAAAAAAAACAAAACCCAATCTCACCCAAGAAAGCCCTCAGTTTATAACATTTCAAATCGGTCAATCAATGTATGACCTACAGGAAGAGAGCTTACCAGACCTCACCAACTTTTAATGCATTTTTTTTAATTCACAGCTGGCGGGCAAGTCTATCAGACACTCCACACACTTGGCTTCAAACGTTTCATATCTCCAACAGTGGTCACCTTCAGGCTCAGGCTGTGATGACAGCTCAGATTGTTGCTGTTGGACAGTTTGACACCAGACCTCTCACCTGAGGCAAACACTCAGTGGCTGCCAAGGCAGGTCGGGAGGAGCGAGTGGATTTTCAACGGTTGTGCACAAAGCACAGAAAAATAATACAAATACATCAGACTTAATATGAAAGAAACAAACAGGGTGAGCAAAAACATGTGTTTAATCTTGTTAGTGCTGTGTGAAAAGTGCTTTGTTGGTAGAAACATGATGTGTTTTGTGGTCATTTTCTTAACCTGTGGATTCATCAAACTCAACTCTTGAGTAGTTTTTGCATTTTAAGAACGTCTTGCAGGCTGAATACTTTATTTTGCATTTCATGTTTATTTTGTCACTTGTGAAGTAATATCTCTGCATATACAGTTATGAACAAAAGTTTACATACACTTGTAAAGACCATGTATATTATGGCAGTTAAAAGTCCCAAAATACATACATCTACTTGAATGTATGGTTTGGGTGATGTAGAATGCTGTTTCAATAAAATGTTCTTAGTGGCATGGCCTCTTAACTTTTCATGAGCGACTATGACTGACTACAGCTGCTAGCTCCTCTGAGCCAATTTAAACAGGCCCCATTTAATACTCTTACCAGACTTAGCCACAACAATACAGTGGAAAAGTCTGAGGAGCTCAGCAAAGATCTAAAAAAGAAAATCACTAACTTGACCAAGCCAAAAAAATCACGTGGAGCCAACTCAAGACTACAGTGATATACATGCCTTTATAAGTGTATGTAAACTTTTTCTTACGACTACATCCTGGAACCCAAACCTTATCCAGCCATGAATTCACCATGAGTTGTACATTTTTCTAAGGATGACCAAAAGTAATGTTTTACACTGACTGGATGTGTGTCGCCACATTAAGTATTAAGTATTATACTGTTGTTTCTTCGTATAATGCAAGTTGGAAATAGCTTTGCTATCTTGATTTTTTCCCCCTTTTATGATATTTTTTTCCCTCTGTTCGGTACTAAAGTAAAAACAGGTTGGTTGTCTGAGGTTTTGTTTTTGTTTCCACCTAAAACTGAGCTGTAGTCACACTTGAGGTATAAATGTACACATTGTTTTCGCACATGCAATGAACAAGTCAAACAGTTATGTCCCTAAAATGTAGGAAGTGGTTTCTGTTGCGTCATGAAACTGTTGCTAAAACAAACCGACAGCTGCTGCTAATTTCTGCATAGAAAAAATATCAAAAGAGAGAAAGAGGGTTCGGCTCCACCACATGCAATTAAAACAACAACAACAGCAACAACAACAAAAACAGGTCTCGCTTAAAGCTGCCATGCTCAGCATCGCTGTTGTAAACAGTATTTTTAAATTTACATTTGATCAAATCATTGTATGCATGTGACACACCAAAAATATAAAGTACAATTTCACACAAAATACCTATACTTGATCATAACTACAAATCATTCAGCATTCAAGTTCTGCAAAGAGTGTCAACTATATATATATATATAGACAATTTTGATAGATCTACATTCAGATACTTTAATGAACTACTGCCATCGTGGGGATTTAGCAGCAGATACTGCACAATACCAGCCAAAACACAGCTTCAAACTTCATAAATAAATAACTAAATACAAAACACAAGTGGAATTATATATCCCAAAAAAGTGTAAACAAGGGAACATGTGTTTTAAATTTTAGATTCTTCAAAGCAGCCACCTTTATTTCATTGACAACAGCTTCGCACTCCCTCTCACATGTGCTGAGCACTTGTTATCTGCTTTTCCTTCACTCAAACTCATCCCAGACCATCTCAGAGTTATTTTGGGTGATTGTGGAGGCCAGTGTGCTGTAAAGAAACAAATGATGGCCTCCACTCCGTGCAAATCAGATGGGATGATGCACTGCTGCAAAATGTTGGAGTAGCCATACTGGTTTAAATGTTGCCCTAAACTGTCAATAAATCACCAACAGTGTTTCCAGTAAAGCCTCCTCGGCACCATCACAGCTCCTCCTCTTGGTTTCATGCTGAGAACCAGACATGCAGATCCGCTCACCTTCTTCAAGTCTCACAATGACTCAGTGGTTGGAAACAAACCTGTTTCTCTGCCCTTAGCAGTGCTTCTGTTGCAGCCATTCTACCAAAAACTTTTTTTTTTTTTTTTTTAAATAGGAAAAAAATCGTTATTTTCTGGATATTTGTTGTAATTTGACAGTAAAAATATGTGTATAATCATAATATGTAAATCATTTTTTAATTAAGTGTTAATTTACACGTTAAAAAACAACAAACCCCCAAATTTGACAAAACTGTACAAAACATCCACAAAAAAATCTGATTTTCTTTTTTTTGTTGTTACAAATAGTCATTTGTCCTTTTACAGTGTCTGATCATTACATGACTGCATTGAAATCTGCAAAAAAATATTGTTTTAAGAATATTTATTGCCATAATTATAACTGTATTTTACAGAGAATTATTGTGATCTACTCTATATATATATATATATAGTAGATCACAATAATTCTCTCTCACATTTATTGGAGCTGAACTAGAGAGCGAAAAAAAGGGACCTCTATATAATTTGTCAGTTTCTTTCTTCCAATGTCACTCATGTTGTTAAACTTGCCAGCACAAGATTCACGGCCTTCTATTTCCTAATGTATTAATGGTGAGCAAAGGGAATTTGCCAGACATCCTGAATTAGTGCATGAACTCATCATGAGTCACCTGTTACCATTTTTACAACCTTTCGTCTGTTGAGTTGCAATTTATAACCTTATAAAGTCGTCTTTAGGCAATAGTTAGTCTGGTAAGACTTTGTTGTGTCAGTTGTGTTACACAACAGAAACAGAAAAACAGCAGCAGCTCGTTTCCACTTCTGCTGGTCAATATCTGAAACAGACACAATGAAAGAAATGATCAAAAAGTTCGCTTGAAACCTGAACTTTTTATTGAAGTATCAGCTGAAGTAGAAGTTGATTGTTCTCAGTAATGATGCTATTTTTAGTTTGAGTTGAAATAACAACGCCTTGCTGACATCTACTCTGCCATTTCCTTTTCTTTTGCAGTGAGAGATCTGCTGTGTGATAATGTTTCTCCTCTCGCCCTTTGGCCATCTGTGACTTCCTCTTAATGAAGTTGTGTACACCAGAGGGGACAGTGGTTCCTCTGTCCCCTCCGGCGCTGGTGATGCCGTATAATTATCTGTTCTCGTGTGTGTGCATATCACTGTGTGTGAGTGTGTGTTTTACCCCGAGTCATTATTCTTCATTATTTTTCTATTATTCATCACTCATTCATTATTCTGCCTGCACTGCTGGCTCCAGTTAGGTTCTCACCACAGACACCGTTTTAATCATCCTGCAATAAGGGGGTGAAGATTGTGTGATGCAAGCGTCGATACACACACATGTAATACATTCCCACATGTTGATGTTTACTTTGACCTACTCTGACAAATATAAAACACGTATTTCATTTACTTTCTGAATTAGATGCCTCTGCGAACGCACTGATCTGTAGGGGGCAGCATCCACCCGGCAGTCGAACAAGCTGGTTTTGTGTGAATCCTTGGACAGGCCAGGAAAAATATAGATGAATGAAGAAGTCGTCTCCTCTCAGCTAAACTGCTCTAATTGTCATTATTTCACTGTTTTGTTTTAATGAATAAAATAAACCACAGACACATAAGTCTTCATTTTCCTGAAAATGTATGAGAGCAACATCTACAACATAATCAGGCTGTTTTGTGCAGAGAGGAACTGAAAACGAAGTGGGGAGAGTCATGCTAGCATTGATACAGGTCTGCTGAACATAATGGTTGAATTAAGAATAAGAAATAAAGCTGAGATGAGTCAACAATAAAATGATCTTTCCAATGAGATTTTTTTTCTTTCTTACGTCAGTGTGAGATGAAGAAATTATTGCATGTAAAGAAAAAACCTGTGGAGGACTTTCAATGTTTGGTGAACAATTACTAAATACTCATATAAATACAACGCAAGTAGAGGAGAGCTGTGAAGACAATAAACAGCTTCAGTAAAGTCAGTTAATGTATCTGAAGTGGGCTCATATTAGGATGCAACAGCAAAACACCTCCAGATGTTGAGTGAGTTTGTAACGTTTCATTTGCAAGACAAAGACAATATACTTTCTTGAGTCTGGCTTTAAAACTGTAATAATGTATGTTTTTGGCTACTTGGAGATTATGGAAATATTCCATGAACACAACACTCACTTAGGTTGATACAGAAAATTCACATTTTCTTATTTAGACATCCAGCAGTTAAAGTCCAGCATTCCAATACTGATTACCTTCATTAGGAGTCACATCTCTGGCCACCTGGAGAATGTACGTTGG